GAATGGTTTTAAACTTCAAATGTATAAAAATTATAAATAACGGTTTTTGTTACTAGATGTCAGGCTATTTTGGGCTACTTTCAATTTTGGTTTGGCTACTAGCTTAAAAGAAAATCTGGCAACCCTGAGCTCAAGTTCTATTTTATTCTATGGGCATAGAAAATATAGTACTATATTTTCTATGTTCTATGGGTTGACGTTTTAAACTTTATATGACACTGACAAATTGTGACTTGCGAGGAAAGGAAAAATGCAATTAATTATATTGTAACAAGAAAATGACTACAGCTTTGCAGCAACAAGTATTTGCGTTGGATGCGAGATACAATGCTCACAGGGCGCCTCAAAGTCTAAATTTTAGTAAGGAAATAAATATGAAATCAGAATGGCTAAATTACCGTTTTTTTTAAGGGACGTTATATATTAGGAGACGTAGTCAGTTACTAAGAGACACTAAACGTTCTGCAGATGACTGGAAACAATATATTAAACTCCGTTCCGCTCTGCTTCAGCAAAGATACGGAACTACCAAAGTTGATTCTTCCTCATCAATTAGCAGTTTGAATATTAACAAAGTATAAATTGTATATTTTAATTTTTGATCGGCAAGCCTACTAAAACTTTATTTTTAGAGTGTAATCAATGAGCGAACTATTTTTTCCACTACTGGTTGCGTTGTACCCACCAAAGAAGCAGAAGCTTCCCGAGCTATGGTTGGCGGTACCACAATGGCAGAAAACTATGCATTTGTAGGCGTCGAACACATATTTGATCAGGTATCCTATATATATTCATTAAGACGTAACACTATCAGTTAAATTGAATTTTTAGCATACAAAAGCAGTAACGATGGTGAAGTTCGCAAATAATGACAGAACGAGATTATGCTGTTCTTCCTTAGATGGAAATCTTTCGGTTTGTGACCTAGCAAACAATTCTCCTATAGTCTCGGCAGTTTTGAAGGGGCACATAAAAGCAGTTACTGGTTCGTTTTCATTTGAGGTGAAACATTTTTCTTGTGTCAGTTGAAATGTTTGTATTTCTAGGGTTCGATTGGTCTATAAACAACGATTTAATCGTCAGCGCATCTCTCGACGGCAGCATAAGAGTATGGAAAGTGGCAGATTTTAAGTGTCTAAGTATTATTAAGGAAAACAACGATGTTCAGATCCTTTGTTGCGTATTTCAACCAATTAATAACAACTTGATATTAGTATCCTTCCTAGTAATTATTTGATTGCAATTTTTTTTATAACAGACATATTGTCCTTATCTGATGTTCAGGCAGGTAACAACAAAGGTGAACTGAGGATTGCAAACATTTCGACCGGAAGGTATTTAAAATATGTTTGTAGAATCGGGGGAAATATTTTAAGTATTGCGTTCGATACAAACGGCAAATTTTTATGGGCAGGGAACGATAGGGTAAGTACGTCATACTTGCAGTATTACTTGTTTTGATGCACCGTTAACCAACAGCTAAAAAATTGACTAAAAAGTACTTATTGGCGAACATATAAAAATTTGTTAGTTCATTTTTTATCAAATTCGTTTCCATCTCTACATCATTTTCTTTGTAGGGCGAGATCGTTTCGGTGTTTTGCGAACTTAACGAGGCGCTCTGTAAAATGAAGAAGTTCTCGCTTGCCTCTCATTGTTCTATAACGAGTTTAAGCTATCGTGCTTGGATAAGCAGAGAGGCAAGGGACCCTTTACTTCTGGTCAACGCCACCGATAATTCTATGTATTTGTTAAGGTAGACGGATTTAAATACGTTTCCAACTTACGATAAAATAATGTAACTTGATTTGTTCGCAGCATTACAGATTGCGAAGGCAGCCTGCAGTTAAAGAGAAAATTCCAAAACCGGCATCAGAAGCACATAGTGAGATCGACGTTTTGCCCCATCATGTCCTTCAGGCAAGGGGCGTGTGTTGGTAATTTTTGTTTCAATTTCACTACGTGCACGTGATAAACTATGTTTTTAGTTACAGGAAGTGAAGACGGAAGTATTTATTTTGTCGATATCGAAAAAATGGGGAACAGATCCGTGGTGAATACCCTGCAAGGGCATTCGAGTTCTGTGTTAAGTATCAGCTTCAATTACGACGAATCGTTCCTCGCCACGAGCGACTTGCAGGGTCTCGTTATTATTTGGAAGAAGGGGAATATGTCTCAATAATTTTGCTAAAAATTACTTTAAGCCGATGCTTTCTAATGTTACGTATACATACATTTTTATTCTTTTTCTATATTTTTCTACAGCAAATCGAAGCGTGAAGAAGGGAAAACTTTAGTGGCAACCCTGCCACTAAAGTTTTTATTTGAAATTCCCTGACTTTTCCAGGTTTTCCATGA